AATATGCAACTATTTATTCTGTCATGCACTTTAGTGTCGACGGTTTAGACTTTGTTTTAGGTTTGTCGCTAGAAGACACTAGGGCACCAGGGTTACATGTAATACTTTCCGTTCATATTGTTTGTAAACAACAGTAGCATGCACGTGCAGTCTCGCGACTGCTTGTTTTTGTATGTCTGTAGTAAATGGTTCAGTTCAGTTTCAAGTGATTTCTGCAATACTTGTAACGAGCTGTACCAAATTAATATGATGATAGAGCAGAAACAATTCTTCCCATTAATATTTTTGTCGGTGGAAGTTACATTACATTTGGTGATTGGGAAAACACTTAGACTCTTAGTTAAATATTTCCGTGTAATTTAAATTAAAACTTAATCGAGATAAAGCTAAGGAAATACGAAAAATACAATGGACTTACCTTTATGCTTCAAGAACTATAACAAACCAATGTAACATAATCAGACAGTTTCAGTTGCAATATTAAACTACAGTGGACAATTAGTCTCGCTGCGTGCGTTTATTTACAACTGTGTTGAGAAAGTTACTTCCGGGTCTATAACAGCGTAGGTTACAAATCAAATAATATTTGATTAATAATAATATTATTTTATCTTGTAAACAATCTTGGAACTGTTTTTTTCTTTACGTGTTAGACCACGACATAATTTGTCGCAGGCACTCTAGAAGCGATCACGCTTACCATCCTGCATTCTAACCTTTTTCAGCTGATTTTCCATTCAACGACAACGTTTTTATTTATATTTGTATAGTATTTGCATATCTGCATGATTGTGTTTTTCATAGTGTAAATTTGAGTTAATTTTAAAACGCATGACCGATATTTAAGAGTGAAGCGTGTGTTCTCAGTGACGACTACAGTAAACACAGAATCGTTTTGAAAAAAAATTAAGAAATAATATTCACAGTGTCACGCTCCAGTTAATACGAACCACTCAATGGGCCGATTCCAGCTATAGATCATATAGACTAAATTTTGATCTAGGCAAGAAGAACAAAATCCATCTAGAAAGAGCATGTTAAAATTAGTAAAAATGCAAAGTTTGGCCGCGAAATGTTGCAAAATGAGGAAAATAATAGCAATACGAAATTTGCAAATTTTGTATACCACATTTGGGCCGAAAGTGCTGCAATTGACCACTTGCGCAATAGGCTAAATTTTGATCTCAACAAAAATGTCATCACAGCTTGAAAGAGCATCACAAAATTAGTAATATTGCAAAGTTTCGTTGCGAAATGTTGTAAAATGCGGAAAATATAGCCTTGCGAAGTTTGCAATTTTCAGTCATTTTAGATTACAAACGGGAAATTGACAGCCCCAAACCCTTCGAGGCTGTCAATTTCCCGTTTGTAATCTAAAATGACTGAAAATTGCAAACTTCGCAAAGCTATATTTTCCGCATTTTACAACATTTCGCAAAGAAACTTTGGAATATCACTAATTTTGTGATGCTCTTTCAAGCTGGGATGAAATTTTTGTCTAAACTTGTTTAAATCAAAATTTAGTCTGTTACGCAAATGGTCTATTGCGGACAAATTAATACAAAATTTGCAAATTTCGCAGGGCTATATTTTCCTCATTTTCCAACATTTTGCAACCAAACTTTGTAATTTTACTAATTTTATCATGCTCTTTCTAGCTGTACTGATGGATGTTGTTTTTCTTGCCCAAAATCAAAATTTAGTCTATAGCTGGAATTGCCCATTACGCTAATATTGTACATGTTTAAGATCAAATTTCGCCAAGACACAAAATGAATCCCAAACATCTGAAATCGTCGTCGAATGACTAAATCCTATCCCTAACAAATTATGCATATCTACATTTATAAAGAAAGTAGGACCATATTTAAATAGGCGATTCACAAGACGTACTTTGGCTAGTTTGGAAAACCCGGAAATTTCAACCATCTTTGATCTAAAATAACCAAGTCAATAAGTTTCGATTTATGGAGAAAAGATGTCACGAGAAAGTTCCGTATATTCTAAAGACATATATTGTAACAGCAGAGCAAAAACTTATAATGTGCGCTCAGCACAGCACAGCACATGATGTTGACTGCTTTATATAGCGTAATTTCTTGGACATTTCGCGTCATTTTTGGTTCGATTTTTGAAGTGCTCTAACTTTCCTTCATTTTTTGTTTGATGGCTGAATCTTCAGTAAATGTGTGGGATTGGATAGGTCTACAATATATATTAAAACGAGGGAAATTGAAGAACTTTCAGTTTTTCATATCTGCCACACATTCTGCGATTCTTACAGGCAAGCTCTCTTAAACGTCCTTAAGTGTCTCGTTTTGCCCCGCATCACCCTATATACATTTTAATAAAATTTTGATAGTATAAAATGTTGTCACATAAGCAATGTATGTCATTATAATAAAAGTGTGATATAACGCGCAATTTGATTGGCTGATACGCGTGCATTGTGGCACCATAATGCACGCTTGTAGATTTTGACATTTTCTCGCCTCTTTTGCCAAAAAGTAAACAAATTATATAATAGATTTAAAGTCCAAAAAATTTAAATACTTGCTTACAAAATAAGATTTAAAGTACCAACCGATGGGCACATTTCTGTAGCGTTATCCTCTGCATGCAAGTTCAGCGACAAACACACAACACCACAATTTATACTCCATGGCCATGGCCAGCGGTATGTTTACTTCTTGCTTGATCGGCAGCGTCCAGATCGCGTTTAAATCGAACTCTTTATCAAGTACATGTTATATACTTGAGAGTTCCTTTGTATTTGTGGGCGACTTTTAAATGTGTTTGATGAACAAATTTGCCAACATACTGTTGACTTTGTTGTTGTGGCGCCTTCCCAAATTTCGCCCGTTAAAAATTCGACTGATCAGTTTTTGTTGCTAATCAACATCTTAGATAACATGTAAGGAGAATTTTGTTGTTGATCTAATAAATAAATGTGATAGTTGTTCTGTAATTTCTTCTTATATTATAAAATAATTAAAAAACCTCGTCTTGTGCCGTTATATAGTGTAATAATGCACTCAGGGAAATGTTGGGAGAATACTCGAGTAACGTGTAAAACACTCGGCTACGCCTCGCGTTATTACACCATAACGGCACGCAACTCGTTTTTTAATTCTTAGGGTTTGTTTACATGGAGGTAGGGTAACCCTATCGCTAGGGTTATCCTAGCAAGCCACCTGATTACTATCAGAAAACCACTGATTACCATCAGACGTAAACATTTACGAAATAAAAACGTTGAGTTTGAACTAATTAACTAATGTACTTTTAATTAAACTAAGAAAGGGGGGAATGTAGCATAGTTAAATATAATATATTAACATAAATAACTTAATTAACTTTAAAGTGAGCACGTGGACAGAGAGAGACAACAAAGGTTTTGGTTTTAAAAAGTACAATATATAAGTAAATGTAAAGTTGATCGAGTATTATCAAATATATCAAATAAAATAAATATAAATATTCTAAATCAACAGAATATTACACATAGCCACGCACTATATGTTTTCATAATAAACACCAAAAGAAAGAAAAAAACATTAATTTATTTGAGTATCCCATTGTCTGTTGCATAAAACCCGAAAATACGAAGGTTGTGTTTGTCAAACTGTTGTACGCCTGCATTTTATGAAACTGTATCGAGCCACAATAACTTAAGCCTTAAGAAATGAGCAGTTTGCATTTTACACTATTGCTCATTATTTTGGACAGCACAGCTGCAAACCAATCAATCATTCCGAATTTAATTAATTATTTTGCACGTATATTATCACAAGCTAAACTATTAAATACTCTGCAAAACATTTACACCCGATACTAAGATTTTAACAACTGTCTCCTCACTGTTGTGTGCATGTATTGCCTGCTACACAGGTAAAAATCTCACATCTTGTCAACAAGATGTGCACGCAACAGGGTTGTAGCAAGCTTGTCAACAAGTTGTAACAATGTTGTTATTTTTCACGTTCCTACAAGTTTGTCACTCACAACTTGTTAACAATTAAGTTGTTGAATTTCAGGACAAGAACAAGTTTTTGGAACTACCTTGTAACAAGTCTGCACAGTTAACAAACTTGTAGCAAGTTGACAACAACTTATGCGCGTACATCCTGTTGACAACTTGTTGGAACAGACTTGTTACAGGTCTGTTGCAGGTTTGTTACAAGTTGTGCGTTTTTACGCATGTAGAACTCTATTTAATTGTTGGTTTATAAATCATTTTGATAGGTGGCTCATTCGTACGGTGCAGATGGTGATAGGAAACATTGTGTCCATAATGTACATGGTAAATTCTGGAACATGCCAGACGAAAGAAAGAGGAATTTAATTGTGAGCCCCGTTGACAAGGATGGCACATATACTGATCAAAAATATCAAGTTATAAACGCCCTTGACTACATTGTCAGGTATACAAATTTTATCGACGAACATTCCAATGCTTGCAAACTACTACCTGCCATAATACGCAAGTTAAAGGCGCGGGGTGTTTGGAAGTACATCACATCTTTGACTGTTCTGAGGGAATACAGTAATCTGCAAATTGAAGCTAACAGCGGCCTGACATACATCTCTAAGGAATTCATATTCAGGTCTACTCTGGTGTTTAGTAGGCAAGGAGATAAATATACCCAAGAAGACACAGTTCGCTTGGTGATAATATTGAAATCTATGGAGGAAGCCAATAAAGGAACATGTGATAATTCATGTAAGAACCAAGGTAGTTGTTTTAGGCAACCCTATTCATCTACAAAATACTGTCAGTGCAAACCATATTATCAAGGTACGTATGTCAATCATTTTAACGTTATTTTTTTTCAAAGTTTTGTAACTATTTGTCCACTCCTAACACGTGGCTTTTTAAAGAATATGTGTCAACCGTCATTGTTTTTGTTTATATCTTACCCTTACCTTGGGAAGTTATTCAATAGCAAGAAATAACGATGATAAAGATTTCTTTGGATCATTTTCAGGGTAAAAAAGTTAAAATGAGGAAGTTTACACTTGGGATGGTTGAAATAGGGATTCAAAACAGGAACATATTACTCGATCCATAAAATGGCCGCGAGCTAGATTTGGGCGTTGACCTACTATCGTGCATTGTATTATTTCCCTGCGCCTAAAAGCGAACACTGATTCAAGATTCCTTCGGCGAAGTCCGGGTTTAAGTTTTAATATAGCAGGAAATATAAAAATATGCAGCTATAATTAATTAGCGTAAAATATATGAAACCTTAGTGAATTATCGTCATTTGATTGGCTGTTTGTGATCACGTGTTATTAAATAGAAATTTCCATTGTCCTGACCGTGCAATGGAACGTTCCATTCGCTGTGTAAATACTTCGTACCATTCCATGGTAATTTTTATTAAATTTAAGAGAAGATTTTTCACAAAATCGCGTATTGGGCGCTCAAAACCAATCCGATGCTAGAATGAGAAATTGATGGAATGAATCGGGTGATAACATGGCGGCCAGTTCATATATCGTGTGAGTACCTCACTGCTTGTTTTTACGCGATAACAATTGGATTTTCATATAATTTTCTCAAATAACATAAGTATACTATCGAAACGATGTGCAAAATTCATTAACAAGATGAATTCAACAGGAATCAAAGAATTACAAGCGATGCACTGTTACACAAGGGTTTGGAAGGATTTGACTATCACAGAAGCATGGTAGGTATGCGTTTATTTTTCCTGATTTTTTTCATATTTTACTGCCTCCGATCACAATAAATTATACTATACAACATTCCTTTGATATTTTAGTTTTAAAAAAACTGCATCTTGATGAGAATTGGCGTCGTTAGTCCGAAGTAAATACTGCTTAATTTTACAAGCGAGTCAGAAGTTGAATTTCCACCAATTGGAGTCATTACAATCCGTATTTTGGTCATATCTTTCAAATTAAGTGTTCGTATTGGACTGTATAACATGTACTGTTTACATTAGATGTATTTAGTGCAAATAATTGCACCATGTCCAAAATTTAAACACTAAATTGACTTAAAAAGTTATTTTTGTTTCTGCCTAACTAAGTATAAAATGAACACATAAGTTATTTTAGTCTATTGCCAAACTAATGTCCACCACTTGTAATTTACCCTAGAACTATTTCCGATCAATCTAAGATATATTCCAGCATTTGCCCTGGGTATGCTAGTTTACAAAAATCATAACTTGATTAAGTTTGAGGTGGTAGGTCGAAGGTCGTTTTTCAACATTTTTAAAATCAACCAGAATTACAGTATTCACAACATGTACATGTATTTACTGAATAGCCTGGAATTGCTATCTGTTCATTGAATATCAAGTGAAATCTTATACTGTAAGCTGTGTAAACATAGCTCTCAGTCCATTTTATATTTTTATGGTGATTATAGATTGTTTGAACATGTTTTGTTTCTGAAATCCATAGGTTTCCATGTAAGCTAAATTTGGCCAATATGGAGTTCATGGGTCTGAACCTTTACCTTAAGTTTAATGTTTAAAATTAACCGAGAACTCTTTCCGATCAATCTAAGATATATTCCGACATTTGCCCTAGGTATGCTAGTTTACAAAAATCATAATTTGTTTAAGTTTGAGGTGGTAGGTCGAAGGTCGTTTTCAACATTTTTAAAATCAACCAAAATAACAGTATTTACAACATGTATTTACTGAACAGCCCAGTATTTCTATCTGTTCATTGAATATCAAGTGAAATCTTATACTGTAAGCTGTGTAAACATAGCTCTCAGTCCATTTTATATTTCTATGGTGATTATAGATTGTTTGAACATGTTCTGTCTCTAAAATCCATTGGTTTTCATGTAGGCTAAATTTGGCCAATATGGAGTTCATGGGTCTGAACATTTACCTTAAGTTTAATGGTTAAAATTAACTGAGAACTGTTTCCGATCAATCTAAGATGTATTTCGGCATTTACCCTAGGTATGCTAGTTTACAAAAATCATAATTTGATTAAGTTTGAGGTGGTAGGTCAAAGGTCGTTTTTCAACATTTTTAAAATCAACCAGAATTACAGTATTCAACAACATGTATTTACTGAATAGCCCAGTATTGCTATCTGTTCATTGAATATAAAGTGAAATCTTATACTGTAAGCTGTGTAAACATAGCTCTCAGTCCATTTTATATTTGTATGGTGATTATAGATTGTTTGAACATGTTCTGTCTCTAAAATCCATTGGTTTTCATGTAGGCTAAATTTGGCCAATATGGAGTTCATGGGTCTGAACCTTTGCCTTAAGTTTAATGGTTAAAATTAACCGAGAACTGTTTCCGATCAATCTAAGATGTATTTCGGCATTTACCCTAGGTATGCTAGTTTACAAAAATCATAATTTGATTAAGTTTGAGGTGGTAGGTCGAAGGTCGTTTTTCAACATTTTTAAAATCAACCGGAATTACAGTATTCACAACATGTATTTACTGAATAAACCCGGTATTGCCATCTGTTCATTGAATATAAAGTGAAATCTTATTCTGTAAGCTGTGTAAACATAGCTCTCAGTCCATTTTATATTTCCATGGTGATTATTTGATTGTTTGAACATGTTTTGGTTCTAATATCCATAGATTTTCATGTAAGCTAAATTTGGCCAATATGGAGTTCATGGGTCTGAACCTTTGCCTTAAGTTTAATGGTTAAAATTAACCGAGAACTGTTTCCGATCAATTTAAGATATATTCCGACATTTGCCCTAGGTATGCTAGTTTACAAAAATCATAATTTGATTAAGTTTGAGGTGGTAGGTCGAAGGTCGTTTTTCAACATTTTTAAAATCAACCAGAATTACAGTATTCAACAACATGTATTTACTGAATAGCCCAGTATTGCTATCTGTTCATTGAATATAAAGTGAAATCTTATACTGTAAGCTGTGTAAACATAGCTCTCAGTCCATTTTATATTTCTATGGTGATTATAGATTGTTTGAACATGTTCTGTCTCTCAAATACATTGGTTTTCATGTAGGCTAAATTTGGCCAATATGGAGTTCATGGGTCTGAACATTTACCTTAAGTTTAATGGTTAAAATTAACCGAGAACGGTTTCCGATCAATCTAAGATGTATTTCGGCATTTACCCTAGGTATGCTAGTTTACAAAAATCATAATTTGATTAAGTTTGAGGTGGTAGGTCGAAGGTCGTTTTTCAACATTTTTTAAATCAACCAGAATTACAGTATTCACAACAATATCTAATGTAAATATGATGTATAATAGAGATTTTAAGTCAGTGATGCTTCTTTATTCTGTTATTCTGTTAAACCTGGTTAATTAAATGTCACACAAATTTGTTGTGATGATTTTTAACCCAAAATGGTTACGTACATTTGGGGTGGGGCCTGGCCAGGTACCAATTACGGCAATTAGATCATGTATATACATTGTAAATTTTCAAAAAAATATCAGATTTTCTAAGAAGATCTTTTCTTGCAGGCTATTAAAGAAAACAAGAAATGAAACAAGATGAAATGAATATTTATTAAATCACAGATAAATTATGATAAAAATTTATCTATTGTTACAAAAAGTTCATAGGATGTACAAAATACTCCACAATGTACAGACATCTGTCATCGTAATCATATCTTCAAGGTTGTAAAAGTAATATCGCAGAGATCTGTAAAAAATATACTTTCATTGTTAACTCAGAGGGAAAGAAGTATTCTTTTGTGTAGTAGTGGGATAGATTTACTTGGGGATATTGGGGGAGGGGTTCAGTATCTGGGGTCCATAGTGATGATGCATCCTGGCCCTGCTTTATGACCAGCCCTGGTTTAGCAACCCTCGTACCACATCGGGTTACATGCATGTGGGAAAGTAGGTTGTTTCAACTAATAATTCCAGTTGCAATTGTTACCTACATCCCATATGAAATTTTGGTTTCCAATTTATACTTTAGTATACTGTATACAATCATATACCAGATGTACATCATGATTCTTTATATCAGAAAGGAAACTTGTAGTGATTTATAGCATGGTATACCTGAAGCACTGCAACAGCAGAACAGCTGCATGTGTACGAAACATTGTGAAGTTTAAAATTAATGTTTTTACAGTAATATTATGGAAATGTGCAACAATACCAAAGGCAAAAAAACTGATTCGAACTTCGAAGTATTAAAATGGATTATTTACAAATACTCAAATTCTTCCTTTAAAATTTTGCATGTACCTATATTGTAAACGAGTTGTGAACAGGCCGGCCATCATTTAAAAGACGAAAGCAGACACTTTTAATCAGTAAATATAGATGGCCTCTTTGAATGAAATGGTCACTCCTGAGTCCGATACATGTGCATATTTACATAATAATAATTTAAATAACAGCTACTAAATACGATATTACACTTACCATGTTATCTTTCTTTATATTTGGCAATGTTTTGCCTCGTGACACAGCCAAAAATCCAGTAAAATTCTGTTATTTGTCTTCGCAAATTTTGGGAAATTTTTAAAACCAAGATGGCGGGGCAGGATTTTAGGGAAGGCCTGGTCGCTAAGTTTTGAGCGCTTTGCGCAAAAATACGCGATTTTGTAAAAAATGTCCTCTTAAGGTGGCTCCCTACAGTTATTCTTGTTTAAGCAATAATTCCGTAAAACAGGCTTATTCGTGCAGAACGCGAATTCTTTTCGACTTGGTGGCAATATTGGTCACCTAAGGAATATTTCGAACTAGATTTCGACGATGTCAATGTTCCCATGGCAACATGACGACAGTATAAAGGCTTCCAATTTAACCCATAAACGTGCCGCTATCTCAA